AGTTAAACTTTTTATTGGAATACAACATAGCAAGAGTCCATAGAAAAATATTATGAAAACTATAACTGTTGTACTTTTGTTTGCAGCGGGGCAGCTCAAGAACGCCGAACACACAAGTATTCTGGCTCTTTTGCCTCAAGGCTGCCCATGCCGCTTTGTCAAGCCAACATTTAAAATTTGTTCACGAACTTTAGCTTCTTAGAATTCTTCTTAAACCCTATTCGCACGGGATTAGTATTACCTGGTGACCTCCAGTCATTTGTAATAATTGTGGAGGTTGTCTGTGATCTTAATCCCGTGCGAATCGGCCATGTCTGTAATTTGTAAAGTAAAAATTCCCCCGCAAATGACCTACCATATTTCGCCGAACACTGAGGTGCTGCGATAATATTAGTCCCGTGCGAATCGACATCTCTGTGATTCGGCCAGCATTTGACGGGTCGTATATCATTTTTCGAGGTTTTTGTTTCCTGTGCGCCTTTTTATCCATCTTCCGCGAAGAATGGAGCTGCGTTGGAGTGTTTGATAGTATTTTGGGTGATATAATATAGATAAGATATAATTATAATAAGATAAAATATCGGTTACACTTTATTTCGATAGTCCACTTTAGACATTCTACTAACTATAAGTAACTTTGTAACTACATGTCAACTAATTCTCATTAATTTGCAACTACATGTCTACTAACTCTCAGAGTAGACTGTTACACAGCAAAATCCCCAGTGTTAATTTAACACTCTGAGTGTGGACTCATATAAACACTAAAGCAGTGTTAAAAGTAACACTGAAGCAGAGTTAAAGTTAATGAGATAATTAGGTGATTAATTAAGTGATGATTGACCATTATTGAAGACACCTGATGTTAACAAACATAATCACTAATGGAGAAAATCACAATTTCTATGTCACCATTATAGTGGTCAGTGTTTGCTTTAGTTGGGATCTTGACCCTTAAATTGTCAACATTAGGTTTTGTTTGGCTGCGGTAACTGAGTTTTAACAGCCAGACAAACCAGATGAAAGGAGCTCATATGGTGTTGATTATGTTTTAAACTGATCATCATGTAGTGACTTGAGTTAGATTTTTTTTTATTGATTATGTCAACAAGGTGAAAAATACAAGATCTGGCATTTTCAGCATACTCAGACAGATGTTTTTAAAAGTTATTTTGATCTAAAAATTAAATAAAGAAGTCTTTACACAGACATCAAGAATCAGTATGATAATCACAACAATGGTGACCATCAAAAAAGCATGTTGTAGCCAATAAAAACTCATTCATGGCTCCCATCATGGACTGCGGCATGAATAAATTATGAGCTGAATTGTTTGTAACTTCTTTCATTCTTACTATATTCTTTTAGTTTTGCTGTTTTTATGTGACTGTTTAGTAGCTTGTTTTGTGACGTTCAGAGTTGATCTGTTTATCTGAATATGCTGTTTGTCACCGTTGTTGAGATTCATATGCTGGTTCTTGATGTATGTGTCTGCCTGAAACAAAGACTTTTTAAAAAAAATCAGAACAGTTTGCAAGAAACCCTTACAAATTGTATTGAAAATACACAATCTTTCACTGTGGAATCACAAAGATGTTGTAACCAATCGAAGTAATATAACTCATAGAACAGACTCTAAATGAGTTCAGTGATTTACGTCAAACAACGATTAATCATCACCACCCAATGACTTTTGCTCTTGGCTTGTCTGTCTGTTATAATTCAGTTACAGCAGCCAAATAAAATGTAAAATTAAAAAGTCAAGGGTCAGGAGCCCAACTAAAGCAAACACTGACCACTATAATGGTGACATACAAATTGTGATTTTCTCCATTAGTGATTCTGTTTGTTAACATCAGGTGTCTTCAATAATGGTCAATCATCACTTAATTAATCACCTAATTATCTCATTAACTTTAACTCTGCTTCAGTGTTACTTTCAACACTGCTTCAGTGTTTATATGAGTCCACACTCAGAGTGTTAAATTAACACTGGGGATTTTGCTGTGTACAATTTGCAGAAAGAGAAAGCTGAAAAGTTTTTGAGGTTAACGTGTTACAAATCAAGCATAAAGCTTGAGATATTATTTTAACCTGGTGAAATGTAAATGACACAGCGCACTTTTAAAAAAAAAATCCATCTGGACCATAGAACGGGACTCTCAAAGCCTTGACATCCGGGTATCCGGTAGATAAGTCGGTAGATTCGAGTAAAATCACAGGCTTCGCTTATCCCGTGCGAATGCACCACACGAAATTCAGATGTGGGGGGGTAATTTCAAAATCACACTTTACTTTAGTTGGGCTCTTGACCCTTGACTTAAAACATTAGAATGCATTTGGCTGCCATAGCTGTGTGTTTGTTTAGCCATGTTAGTTATGGTGAGACAAAAAAGCCAAGAATAAGTGTGGTGAAGTGGTGGTTATGTTTCAATAATGACATATCAAGCTTACAGTGACTTACTTCATTAACTAATTAAAATTGTAGCTTGAACACTGGCAGAAATTTTGGAGTTGATTTTATGATGCACATATTTTAAGATCTGACAATTTTAAGATTAACCTGATACACTTAAGAAACTTATTCTGTACTGAAAGTTTTATATATTTTTTTATCAAACAGACTTCAAGAATCAGCATATGAATCTCAACAATGGTGACAGTCAACATAAAGCTCCATGTTGCAGTGCATTCTGGGTGCACCAATCAAAACTCATCCATGGCTCCCAGCATGCAATGCGACATGAATAAATTATGCAGCTGTCTTCGTATTTTCTTTTATTCTTACTATTTCCTTTTGTTTTGCTCTTTTTGTTGTGACTTTTAGTAGCCTGTTTTGTGATGTTCACAGATGATCCGAATATCTGAATATGTTTATTGTCACCATTGTTGAGGTTAAACGCTGATTCTTGATGTCTGTATGATAGTACAACTTTAAGCTTCTAATGCAGATTTACTTTTAAAAGTTTTTCAGACTAATTTCAAATCTGCTGGGTCAAGATTTTCATTTCATGTGAACATAAATAGGCATTAAACCAGTCAATGGCAAAGCTCTTAGAAAAAGCAGTTATGAAAGTAACCAAATGCTGATGATTTCTTTATTGAAAAATAACCATCAACACGCTATTATTATAACAAACATGTCTTAATAAACACACTGATATAACAATCAAAGTAATTGTATAGTTTTAAGTCAAGGGTCAAGAGCCCAACTAAAGGAAACACTGACCTCGGTAATGGTAACTCAAACAAAACTAAAACATCAACATCTAAAGTCAGTCTGGTTAGTAATGTGTGAAGTTGGTGATGCTGTTTGTGGAGTTGTTTAATCATCCTCTGCAGAGATCTTGAGAGATTTAATGTCTTCTTTTATGTTGTGTTGATTTCATCTAAGGCTGTGGCTGAAGTCAGTTGTAATTACTATACTAATTATGTCATTAACTTTAACACTGCTTCAGTGTTACTTTTTTAACACTCTGAGTGTGGATCTAAATCATGCTAGCAACATTGGTTTTACCTGTTTTTCGCTAAATTAACTGGTTTTAGCTGGTGCTAATCATGCTAGAAACATGCTAATCATGTTGGAAAATGCTAGCAACATGCTAGTAACATGCTAATCATGCTAGAAACATGCTGGCAACATGCTAGTAAATTGCTAATCATGCTAGTAACATGCTAATAATGCTAGAAAATGCTAACAACATGCTAGTAACATGCTAATCATGCTAGTAACTTGCTAATCATGCGAATAACATACTAGTAACATAGTAGTCATGCTAGAAACACCCTAGCAACCACCCTGAGTACCCTAGCAGCAGCATAGCAACAGTCTAGCAACCACCCCATGTACAATAGCAACTGCATAGGAACACCCTAGCAACCAACCTGGGTACCCTAGCAACTGCATAGCAACACCCTAGCAACCACCCAGAATACCTTAGCAACCACATTGCAAAACCTGTTTTTTTTTCTGATAGACTGTATTGCTTAAAACATTCAAACTTTAATCTTTAAAACTATTTTACATTTCAAACTAATTCAAATTGAAAACCTTCAAACTTCAAGCTTTTAAAGCTTTTTTCAAACTTTCTGACTAGGCTTTTTCAAGCCAAGTACAACTACAAACTTTTCAACTTAGTTTATAAGTGATATATAATTGTCCATGAAGACTGGAAGTGAACATCTCCTTATTTTCAGGGTGTGCAGAAATATTAGGCATGTTTTCTTTTACAGATAAAATGAGCCAAAAAAGAGATTTAACTCAGACTGAAAAGGCAAAAATTATTAAATGCCCATGAGAAATATTCAAAACTAATGCAATACAGAAATTGAAAAGTTAAGACATGACCACTGGACAGCAAAATACTCTTGGTTCAGCAGGGTCAGAAAAAAACAGGTGGTTGAACTAAACTCATTTAAGCCTTGCCAGTTTAAATGTTAAAGAGCCAGAAGACGCAAATTAGAACTCTCGCGCGACGTGAGAAGATTTGTGTGTGTGCTCATCTAAAGCGCCAAATTCACGTCTCAGAACACGCACAGATATTGAGTTTGTTTTCAAGTCTTGCTTGAAAGGACAAATTCACACAAAAATGATGTCAAAATGCCTGTCTTGGTGAGTATCCTAGCAGACATAGTCGGTTGAACGTACAGTATCAGTGTAGTGGATCCGCACTGCTCCTTATTGTAAAAGTTTTCTCACTTTATTAAGGATACATCATTAATTATACCTTCGCCCACGCCATTGGATTCCATCGTTGGGCCAATTGGGTGGTCCTTACACTACTAAAAGTCAAAAGGAACAACAGCAAAAATATGAGCAAATAGAAAGAATTAAAGAAAAAAATATAAGACAATTCAGCTGCATAATTTATTTGAGCCGTAATGCATGCTGGGAGCCATCGATGAGTTCTGTACTATGGTGTCACCACCCAGCATGCATTGCAGCATGAAGCTTTTTGTATATATTGTCAGCATTGTTGACATCTGTATGCTTATTCTTGATGTCTGATGTCTGGGGTGCCAGTGCTGATTGTGCGGATGTTGGATGTGAATTTTCCCAGTCTCACAAGCTGCTGCCTGTCTGTCAGAAAGTTGGTGATCCACTGATAGATAGAGCTAGGGAAAGAGTGCTGGGTTGGTTCAATTGTCTCTATTGCTGAGTGTCATATGCTGATTGTTGACTGCAAGAGATTATCAAAAAATTTTTCAGATGTCTTGGCCTCTGTAACTGTCAAGCTAGAATCAACAATTTCTTAAATTTGTTTCACTACAGCTAATCTGTCTGACCCCTGTTACAACTACACTGTTCTGGATGATCCATGGAGAGCCACCAATAATACATATGCTTCAGTCAGAAATTGTGACAGGTCTGTCACCTGGAGCAGCTGGTATCGTCTCTTCATTAACAACATGAGCGCTCACATCCCAGACACGTGTGTTGCTCAGTATAGCTGTGGCACTGCTGCCCCACTGTGGATTCGTGGTGGACACCCAACAGTTGAAGATGGAGTCGTCACTCGAGATGTCTGCGGTCACTGGATCAATTACTGCTGCTTTTTTGGGTCTTTTCCCATTAAAGTCAAAGCCTGTCCAGGCAATTATTATGTCTATGAGCTGGTTAGACCAACTTTCTGCTATTCAGCATACTGTGCAGGTAATTGTATTCACATGAACTCTTTGTTTTATTTGTGTGATTGCTGATTCATTGATATTCATCAGTCTTTATTTTTTTCAGCTGTTACTAACATCAGCAGCACTCATACAACAGTCACACCAGAGACGAGCCCAGCTGGTAATGTAGTCTGATATTTCCTCTGTTGATTTGTGTTTTGATTGAATGTTTGTGGATCATTGCAGACATTTTCATTTTCGAGGGCGATGCATGAGTATGATGGTATGATTGTTCACAGATTCTGACTGCAATGAGATTGAGTGATAGTAGTCACCTTTAGATTCTTTCTTTCTTTCAAATTTCTACAAACTAGTTTTTGTTCATCCACACTCATGTATGGAAGCCCTGAACCACAATGTGGAATATATAAATCTCAGATCCTTGCTGACCTTAAGTTCTAGATTTTCCTCTCTCCTAAAACTTCATCCTGTTTTCAAAGACTGCTTTTTATTTTTTTCCACAAGAGGCAACACAAAAAGGAAAAAAGAAAAGCTTAACTAGCATTAGCATGCAATACCAAATGCCACTATCAGAAAGCACTGAATCAGTTGGTAATGTATTGTGCTGTGGTATTTGAACTGTACATGATCAGATCTGTAATTGGCGTGTTGAGCTTCTGTGCATTTGGACCTGTATTAGAATTTAAATCTGGGGGTGGATCCTCACTGCTCTTGATTGAACAGTTTTTCTAACTTTAATGAGGATTAATCTTTAATTTATACAGTCAAATATGCAATGTTATTTTTTATTTGATTACTTTATCAATTTCTGTACCTAAAAACTGTTAGACCTACCTAAAAAACTTGAAAAGCACTGTTTATTGTATTTGTATATTTGCTTGGTTGTGTTTATTTGTTCTGTTGCTTGTATTTAGATTATTTGTTGTAATTTTCTTTATTTTTATTTGACAATAGTCCTTTATTTATCTAAACATAGCACGTACTGAACCGTACCGAAACCGTGATTCTGAAACCATGATACAAACCGAATACATGTGTAACTTGAACCGATCCACCCTTAATATATATATATCATTAGTGGGCTGTCAGGGCTAGCAAAGCCTTTTCTGCTGACCTAAACACTATCAGAAGCAGTGACTTAGTTTTAATATATTTTTTTCCAATTAATGTGTATTACATTATTTCCAATAGTCTATTCTCTTCATTTCACAGCTTTTCTCTTGGTTGCAGTGCTTCCAGTAGTGTATGTTTATGTTAGAGCTTTTATCCAATCATATTTCAGCAATCATGTGTTGCTAGGGTCAAAGAAATCTGCCTTGAGGCCTCTTTGTATTATTTGTGTGATTGCTGATTCATTGATATTCATCAGTCCTTTATTTTTTTCAGCTGTTACTAACATCAGCAGCACTCATACAACAGTCACACCAGAGACGAGCCCAGCTGGTAATGTAGTCTGATATTTCCTCTGTTGATTTGTGTTTTGATTGAATGTTTGTGGATCATTGCAGACATTTTCATTTTCGAGGGCGATGCATGAGTATGATGGTATGATTGTTCACAGATTCTGACTGCAAGGAGATTGAGTGATAGTAGTCTCCTTTAGATTCTTTCTTTCTTTCTTTCTTTCAAA